AAATCTAGAACATATCAAAAAATTAATAAATACCCAATTTCAACAGCTCACCACCACCAGTTGTCGAGAGTCGTTGCTTGAAGCATCTTCACGCGAAAAGAGTTTTGCTGAGAGGAAAATCTGTTGTCTAAATTTCGAACTTTGTCTTGTGTTTTTGGGACTTGTAGAAATTCGAAAATATATTAAAACCTTTTCTTTTGGAATCTGACCGGAGATTCCCTGCCTTGTCCCGGGCGGATTCCGCATTTTTATTTCTTTCCTTAAACCTCTCCTAAAAATTCTTTATTCAACTTTCATTTTAATTTGTGTTGAGATTATTCTTCTCATTAGAATCCTCAACACTCATGAAGAATAAAAATCAATTCAATTTTACAAAATGGACCTTGAAAAAATACGAAATTAATCCTCTGAAGCCGAATTTTCGCAAAATCCCATCCTTCATTTCCTTTTTTTTAACGTTGTCCCTTTGCCTAATTATTAACATTAACTTTATATTTGAGTGTGCTATTACTCTCCTTGAAAGGTGCAAAACGTACGTTTATAAAACGTTATTTAGCAGTTATAAAATATAAGTGATTTTCCAGAGGGGCTCAGATCCTCCAACGAGTCTGAATCCTTCTCCTCTTCGAAAGTTTACAACTTATTAAAAGCCCCACGAAACCTCACTCAGTAATAACATCGCGTAATGACCTTTCAACCCCCAGCTAGAGATTCTTCCTTTTGAATATAAAGAGGGAGGGAAAAAAACATAAGGATAAAAGATCCCAACTGTTGTGGAATATGATGAATGGATTTATTATTCTGATTAAACATCGCGGGCTCAGTCATGGGATTCGTGTCGCAATCCAATTTTGGCAGCGCCTGAGGGCAGATAAGTAGGCATGTGTTTGCAAAAGAGAAACACGCCAAAAAAAAAGAAGAGAGAGAGAGACTCGGAACAAAACAAAGGAAAAAAAGGGATAGATGCCTTTTTCCTTCCGGATGTTTTCCTTTCCCATCAGCAACGTTTACCAACATACAGAACTTGGTTGTCGCCTTGACTGAATACCAATGACGCTTTTTCTTTGGCTTTCTGCCGTTTTATTTTTATCCTTCCAAGTTGCGCTGAGCAAAAATAAGGCCCTTTCTTTTGCGGATAAAGGAAAGTTTGTTGACACAGAAACAACTGCAAACTTCCCTACATAAATTTGCAGAGCCATAACCATAGCAGGAAAATGCCGGTAATGAAGCAACAAAAGGAAATACGTTACAAAGGTGATTACTCGTTTGAGTCGTACTACCTATAGGTAGTCGAAAATAGCGAAGGAAGTTCGTGACATCAGGGAAGTAGTCGTTTTATGAGAAGCGATATAAAAAGATGTAACCGTGTATGCTCTAAAAATTCGAGACAAAAAAAGTCTTCTCGCAAAAAAAAAATAATAATAATAGCAGCTCCTTAGCCAGGAGTTTCTTCGTAATAAATTTTTTCCATGACTCGGAATAATTTGCAAACTTCCTCCATGAATATACAGAGCAATTAACACATTAGGAAAATGCTCTTATTTTTGCAACAGAAGCAAATATGCAAAAGATCATCATTAGCGAACTCAGTACGATGGATATCATCAGCTCATGAATTTTCTTTAGGCTTCTTTGCCAATTATTCAGCAAATTTACTACTGAAAGTATTTCCAAGCACGAACACTGAATAAAGTACAGTATTTCCATCGAAAAATCAGCGAACAGAAAGTGGAACTCTTCAAAGCGCCTGAAACTTAAAGATACCGTAGTTTTCATCGGAAAACAGTATTTCCAAGTACACGAATTGAAATCCAATGACCATGAAAATCCAAATTTCTAGGAAAACCCAGGGAAAAAAAACAGAAGAAAATGGTTGATTCCTTCAAGGCCATGTAACAAAAAATACATAAACTCCCACCTTTTCCCCCCCAAAGAAGATACATTAAGTAAAGGGAATCGGGACGTAACACGAAAACACGCGACACTCGAATTGATTTTCTTCACAAGACCAACAGCAGCGAACAAAAAAGGAAAGAATTGCAACACACACACACACAATATACCCAATTTCAACAGCTCATCACTACCAGTTGTCGAGAGTCGTTGCTTGAAGCATCTTCACGCGAAAAGAGTTTTGCTGAGAGGAAAATCTGTTGTCTAAATTTCGAACTTTGTCTTGTGTTTTTTGGGACTTGTAGAAATTCGAAAATATATTAAACCCTTTTCTTTTGGAATCTGACCGGAGATTCCCTGCCTTGTCCCGGGCGGATTCCGCATTTTTATTCCTCTCTAAAACCTCACCTAAATCTTTATTTCTTCTAATTTAAATTTGTGTTGAGATCTTTTAGAATCCTCAACATATATCCACTGAATGTGTCTGACAACTGTCACAATTATCTTATAATCTAAATCCGCTAATTTTCTCGCTTTATATATATACAGTACTGGCACAACCAAGGATAAAATACCAAAAAAGGTTAAGATCAGCGTTTCTCGTCTTGATTTCGTGCGAGGAACTGTTCCGCAAACTGGAGGACCACTCGGTTATTCGACCAGCAGGCACCGGCATTGATTCGCGGACAAATGGTAGAAAACCGCGAAGAATATTTCCGGAACCCGATTGAAAGAACCCATTGTGTTTGGCCCGGGACGCGAATAAACGCCCGACACCTGCAGTCGACATACATTCGAATCCCGGAAAAGAGTCCCTGCAGTTTCAGTATATAGCAGCAGTGTGGCACCACCAACACCACCAGCAGCGTTAGAAAAAAGGAAGCCCGTATACACACGCAACATATATAAGTATATATATATAAAAGTGAGGATATATATATATAGAGTATATGAAATTCCTCCGAGGAAACAACAGTGGAGACGTGGACAAAAGAGTGGCAACCCACAACTGCTGCATGCAGGCCCGGCCATCACTCAGGAAAATTGCGGCGCTCGCCCGCGGCGGATAAAGAATATAGGAAAAGCGGGGCTCTTTGCAGCCCCTCCACGAAGTGAAGCCCCTTCTTTTCCTTATTCCGATCTCGAGGAATATGAGTCCATCGAGGTTCTTTCCAAACCCCTCCGAAATTTAGCGAATTTCCGTCTAAATTGTGAACCATTCGGACTTCCCTTGATTGAGGTGTGTGTGTGTCAAAAATGGTATCTGCTCAATTGCTGGGGAACCACATACGCGCAAAAAAATATTGAACTTAAATTAAAAAAAAAAAAATTACGAAAGCCTAGCATCAGATAAAAGAACCACTTCTCAATGATGACCACCTCACGAAGAATAACCACTTTTCAAGGAAACCCATGCAACCTCAGAGAACAAAGTTTGCGATTGAACTTTTGGCCTGTTCAAGTGTGCATCAAACTTTTGGCATGTTAAAGTGTGCCATATTATTTTGAATATAAGGAAGAGTTCTGTTGAGTTGTTGCGTTTACAGAAAATTGTCTTGTGTGTTAAAATATTTGTTGGGACAATTTCGAAATACATTTAGAAAGAATTTTAAATAGGAAATTTACCAGGATTCCTGGCCTAGTCCCAGGCTGAATTCTGTTTTTCATTTCAAAAATTCCAACTTTACTTTATTCTTCAACCTTTTGATTGGCCAGCAAATTAACTTAAAATTTATGTTAGGCTAAGTTATTCCCTAACATCAATTCAACCTGAATAAGTCTTGGGTTCAAGAATTCACATTATTGGGAGAAGGATTCTTGGATCCTCATGGTTAGTTAGCTATTTTTTGTCTGCTGAGAAGCTTCTCCACGATGTGAAGCCCCTTCTTATCCTTATTCATATCTCGAAGAAGTTGAGTCCATCGAGGTTGTTTTCAAACCCCCCTTCCCCCGAAATTTCGCGAATTTCCCTCTAAATTGTGAACAATTTCAGCCATCCCTGCTCGAAAAGTTTTGGAAAATTCGATCTGCTCATACTTAGCCTGAAGTTATATAGGCTCGCAACAATGTCCTAGAAAATTCACGTTGTATGAAAAAACAGTCTTCAATATTCCAGTTGAACCTCGATGATTCGAACCTCCATAAGTCAAATACCTCCCCTTGTCGTTTTTTTCAAGTCCCTCTCTGAATTCCCTTAGAAACAATTCATTTAAAACATCTCAAATTCGAAAGCTTTCCTTTTTGAACCTCTGTAACTCAATTTTTTTCTGGAGGCCTTTTGGCTTTTTTTAGGCACAGGAAAGAGAAAAGCAATAAAAATGTCACTTGATGTGTTTGAAAGGAAGTGAAGGACTAAGCTGGTAAATAAACCCTTGCCTCCATGTTCAGCCTCCTGTCAACTCATCTAATAGGCAATTTAAGGCCCCAAATATCACCAATTACAATTTCCTGCAATTCTTCTTACTTTCCCCCAACACAAATGCTTGTTTCCCTGACTCGAATTTTTTTTGCTGGTCCTTCGGAGGTTCACTGAAAGAGGTACGACTGCTGTAATAGTCAATTTACCTAATTTTTGTTATTGAGAAGATCTTGTAACACGAACTGGACTTGCATTTTCGTTGAACCCAGGAAATGAGGTAGTGAACCAGATAACCATCATCACACAGGTTTGCTGTCGATCAATCACAAAGACTTCCGAATAATTTCAAGAACTTGAAAGAAACCCCATTTTTCCCAGGTTCGGGATTGCCTTTTCCCTTCAGTGAATTAAAAAAGAGAACCGCAAAGAATTAATGATGAACACCTGGTCTCCATTACTTTCTTTCATCCTCTACAACCGAAGGAAACACAACTTTGAAATTCCGAAAAAGCACATTCTTGCGTTCGGTCGCACGAACGAAATTGACAATCGCAGCTGCCTTCAATATGATTCATGTTTTGCAATCACACCGCGATTAAGTATAGGGTAAATATATTATCTCCCCGTGTGGCCCGAAAATGCACGAAAACTATGGGAAGAGCCACGACGTGAGGGCGGAAATGAACGGCTGCTGTTGCTGCCAGTGGCGAAGGAAGCCGGGGATTTGCGCTTGAATAGCCCGGTCCAAATGCAGCCCGACATTCGCACGCATTATTTATCTTCCTTTATGGTTCAGGAATGGCGAGACTACAAGTTTGTCTGGAACCCTGACGAGTACGGCGGCGTGACCGAGTTGTACGTGCCATCCGAGCACATCTGGCTTCCCGACATCGTCGTCTACAACAAGTGAGTTTTCAGTAACTGTGTCTTGTAAAACGCGAAAAAGAGCCTGTGTTTCCCCTGACGAGTAGAAGGTTATATTCTGGAATTGTGGTCTGATTCGCGTATTTCTCAACCCAAGGTATTTTATAACAGTGTTTCCCAACCCGGCGCCGGTCCGCAGAAACGTTTTGCTGGTCCGCGGGAACATTTCTTCCAGATAATAAATTGATCAAAGGTTGTATTTAAGTCTGTTATCCCAATTTAAAAATTTTGAAAGACAATGGCAGTTGACATCATCTCATGAAAAATAAAAGTTGACTTTTCTCCTGATAATATTTCAGACATTTTTACTCGCTGAAATATATTATTTCAAGTTTTCAATCTGAGAAACCTTCCTTGAAGCCCATCAAATAAAAAGACATCCCACTACATATAACTACTTGACTTGATTTTTGCAATGAAAGTTTCGTTCTGAGGACTATATGGCAGGTATTCGAAAATTTTTTGCTTGGTCGTCGAAAATTGTATGGAGCATTGCCGGTCCAAAGAAATTTTTTTAATATGTCGGTCCACGAAAGATTTCGACGGTCCGTGTGCTCAAAAAGGTTGGGGAAGACTGTCATAGAAGGTACGCGAGATATTCTCAACAAAAAACGTAGGCTTTTCTAGGAGTGTTTAAATTTACCTCTCATAATAAGCTTTAAAAAAAACGTGGATGGGATACAGTGACAGGGTCACGAAGCAGTTCTACTAGGGCAAGAATTTAAAATTTTGGGCAATGATGGAGTTATGCGAGGTAATCCGAAACCCGATTAAGTGGAGATCTAAGGAAAGCGTTCGTATTACCTTCAATATTTTGACAGTAAAAACGAAAAATATCTGATTTGTGTAGGAGCGTAGTTAATTCAAAGGGGTCGGTAAAAATCACGGTCATGTCTTGAACATTTTAAAAATTGGAGAAAGGTTTAAAAGTCCGGTTTCCCGCCCACGAAATGCATTTTCCCCCGCGAGTCGCAGTTTTTTCAGCTCAAAATCCCGATATACAGGATATACTATACTTTTATGATACATGAATCCAACATTATGTCTAAACGCGAATGTCAGCGCAATAAATTATCTTTGTCCTTATTCTGTTGTCGTAGGGCAAATATCTGAGAACTACTTAACCAATGAAATAAAGCATGGCTGGAAATCTTGTATCATCATCTCTCGGAAAGTAATGAACCAAGCACCTTCACAGTGATGCTGAAAATGTTTATTATTGTCCTTAGTCTTGCCTCATGCCTTTGTTCACCATTGGGGAAGAGATAGGGACTCAGTTTTCAGGGAAGGTGCAAAAAAAAAAAAAAGTTGAATGACCTTTGCCGTCGGGAAATGACGCATCGAGGCTTCCGATGGTAGAAGATAACCGATATGACATCCCAGAAGACAATGTTGAATGTTCTTGATGACATCGACCAGCAGAAGAATGCGGGAAAAACGCGAAGTCTCATTTTTTTTCTTGGAAAAAGTCATTTTAAATGCGAGTTTTGGAAATCAAGTTGAGGTTGAAAACGTGCTCACTTGCTGGTTGTTTCTATATTGTTTGTTACAAATAAATCCCTGAAAACATCTCCCTCCTTTCAAGTCTGGCAAAAAGTTGACCTTTAGCCTTACTCGACTTTAATTTTTATAATTTGGCAAAACATCAAAAGCCAACAAATATGAAATTCGTTTGCATTTTTTTTCCAGCTCGAACAATGACACTTTTAGGCATGAGGATTTTCATCTAAAACTTTAATTTATTTCTAGGTATCAGATTCGATAGCATGCGTGAGTTCTGCTTATTTTTCATGCTGGAAAATGTTTACGTAATACACTGAATATTTGAAAGTTCATTTGATGCCTTCGGGAAAGGTAAGTAAATTTCCAGTTAGAAATGCGCTGAAGCTTATTTTCTGTGTTATTTTAAGAACAAAAGGTTGTAAATAACATTGGTGCCTTGACCTATGAACGCAATTTTTCCCGATTTGATCGTCTTGTTTTGATTTAATAATTTTTACCTACTTTCCCGTTACGGTGCAATTAATTTTTTTTTGGACCAAAATGAAGAAGCAGTGATGAAAGGAACAAAAATTGCATCAAGAACAGGGCAAAACATTTTCTGCATTGGCTTTCTTTCCGGCTCATGAAAAAAGCCCAGGATTATATCAACGAATATTATCACGAAACCCACTGCATTCAGTAACCTTGCGGGAAAAGTTTTTACCTCGAACCCGTTGAACTGAAATAATTTAAAAAGTTTTATGGGTGCAGTCGCGGGTCCGTTTACTGCTTCGACCCCGCCAGTTGGGTTCCTTTTCCTTGGGGACCTATGTATTATTGCGGATCCCGCTGCTGCTGTGCTGGGTAACGCCACGAAAGGTCATCCCAGGTGGAATCCCAAGTTGAATTTCTTCTTTCTGCATAATACAGTGCTGATGGCGAGTACATCATCACGACCATGACCAAGGCCATCCTGTACTACGACGGACGCGTGAGCTGGTCCCCTCCAGCCATCTTCAAGACCTACTGCGAGATAAACGTCCGTTACTTCCCGTTCGACAAGCAAGAGTGCTTCATGAAGTTCGGCTCGTGGACTTACGACGGGTTCCAGGTTTGTCTCGTTCCGAACCCGCGGCCCCGGGCCCCCCAATTTCCGGATGCCCCCCCAGTGGAGCCAGTGTCGGCTCGCGCCTCCCCGAGATGATCCCGCTCCTCTGATGAATACGGCGCCCGTCACGCCTCGTCTGACTCCATTAATCTGCCTCTGGAAGCCTGACGTGATTAATCCTAACGCACATGTGCAGAATTTCTCATAACTCATTTACTTCAATTTGCATCAGGCCCGGGTGATTGTAGTCGTTCGAGCGCTCTGATCCCGCTTATTCGGGTTCTGACTCGGATATGAACGAGTCTGGGCACGATTCATAACCCCCGGGAGTCGAGCGTCACTCGTTTCCTGCCAATTTGGAGGTTTTTTTTTTTTCTTTCAAACTTTGTACAGTTGGACCTTGTTCTAAATGATTCGAGCCTCTCTACGTCAAAGTTGTGTTCTGTCCGTGTTTGAGTACCAATAACCGCTCTTCAGCAAAGTCAGGACATTTTTGAAACATTCCATGCCCATGAGCACTGAGAAAAAAATTCCTTATCTTTGATTCAAAGCATAAATTATAGAAAGAGTCTAATATTTTTTTCCTGCTTGGGCAGAAAATTTTGATTGAAAAGTACGAATCCTCACATTCATAATATGTGATAAATATTGGAGTTTTTTGAAAAAAAAATTATTTACTCTTCCCAGATTTTTCCTGGCATGGGCCTTTTCAACCCAGTGGCATTTCATTGACCTTTTTTTGTGTGCAGGAAAAATCCCAACTTTGCGGCAGGATGGAAATGAACCTGCCACTGCTCGAGTGTTAGGAGCAGTACAATAGAGCCCTTCTTAACTGGGAGGCTTTCCCCTTCAAACTTGTGTAACTCAAATTTTAAAAGGATTTTGGACTATCATTTTGGGGACTTAGGGAAGGAAACATGCAATACAAGGGTAACTTCATATTTTTTTCAAAGAAAGTGAGTGACTAATTTTTACTCTTTCTCTGCAAGGAATGGTGTAAATTTCCAAACTTGCAATCAATCATAAGGGCATTCCTCATTCCATTGAAACTTGCTTTTTGGCACCCACTTTGACCAGTATAGAGTCTGACCTATGTGCGTTTGATGTGGACCACCAAACATCTGTGTCAGGGAGGTTTTGAGTTAGCAAAGCAAGCATTTTTGCTGAGGAATAGGAAAAATTACAGGAAATTATACCGTTTTTACTTGAGTACTGTACCATGCACCCTTGAGTAAGACCCGCACAGGGGTTTTTCAGTTGAAATTTTGGCTAAAATCTTATATCCAAGTAAGACGGGCACCCCAATTTTTAGTGAATCTAAAACCACAAAATTTTGAAAATAAATTCAAAAAATTTGACTTTTAGCCATGAATCAAACAAAAATTGGATCAATTTTCAACTTTTTCAGTACAAAAAAGTTTTCTTGTTACATTTGTTTCAAATTTCTCCATTATAATTAAGTATAATGCACATATAACTTCCTAAAACTTATTGAAAAATTTTCACCCGCTTATGACATGCACCCCTTTCTTTCTTCTGAAATTTGAGAAAAAAGGTGCATGTGGTACTTGAGTAAATACATTAATTGGTGATATTCTTGGCATTAGATTGCTCTTTAAATGCATGGACAGGACGCTAAACTTGAAGCCAAGGGTTTATTTGCCAAATTAGTCTTTCACATCCTTTCAAAACACGTTGTTCCATTTTTATTGCTGTTCTAATGTCAAAAGGTCTCCAGAAAATTAGAGTTATGAAGGTTTGAGAGTGGAAAGCCTTTGAGCTACAGAAGTTTTCAATGCCTTTTTTCAAAAATGATTTCAGACAGGGACTTGAAAAAAAAAACATTTGACAAGGCGAGCTATTTGACTTTAGGAGGCTTGAGTTATTATTGAGGTTCAACTTGTATCTTGTGAGCTTGCGTCCAAAATCCGAGAAATCATTGCCAAATGGTTCATCCCCATCTTGCACAACTGTGGGAATTCCAGAAATGCTGGCACACATGCGTACATGCGAGCACATGTTCCGCACCCTTGAAAAACTAAAGAATTGAAAGTCATCACTGATGTTTCGCTTGGCAGGTGGACCTGAAACACATGAACTTCCTTAGTAATGAGGAATAGTTCGTTCCGCATGGGGAAATTAACCGAGAGAGCCTCGCGAGACTCATTCTTGAGCGAGGTTGACAAAACCCGCATGGCGTGTCAGTCCCGCACAGATGTCGCTAACCTCCAAATGCATGGGTTCCTCTCACCTCGACGACATCCGACCATAACCCCAAGTCCATTACATTCAGGTATCAACATGCACATGTCCCTTCCATCTGCATACCCGAGGGGTCTAGTATTATGCTCTTTGAATATGAATTTAAACGATGTGATATTACGTTAAAACAATTATTTTTCAACACTGACAAAAAAAATTGACGCAAGAAAAAAAAATCAGCCCTGTTGAACATAATTTTCAGAAGGTTAAAAAAAGTCACACTGGCAGCTTTCTGCTCTTCACTGAAAACATGAGGCGCCCATCTCGCACATTTTTTTGGCGAAGCCCAATTTTTCCTTCAAAAGCCTTGTAATTGACATGCATGAACTCCAAGGGCTGACGCTATTAAGGGATTATTAATTCCGCCATTTTCCTTGAGGGCTGATGTTAGGGAAAAATTAGTGGAATTCCTCAGAAAGATCTGGAGGTAACCCGTCTTTGGAAATTTAATGCCATGTCAATTTTAAGAATTCTGAAGGAGAAGCAGGGCTACACAAAAAAATCTATGAGATAGGTGCACCATCCTTTCGGGTAAAGAGCAAAGCAAAACGCTGCCTGGGTGACTTTTGCAACAATTTTTCTAGAAAATATGCCAAACATGCAGGGTTGAACATGTCCTTCAAATTTCGGGTTACCAATATAATTTGATTTTTTTTCTGCATTCCAACCTGGACAATTTCGACTGTTGGGCTTTGTTTATAAGGCGGAAAACGCAAGATTTTCGCAAGTTCCCTGAAAATATGCATGTTCAAAAAAATCAATAAAAATATATTACTTGTTGAAATATTACTATCGCAGAACCATTTTAAAAAAATGGGACCTTCAATATTTGTGGGTGTAGGGTATTCATAGGGAATTATCTGGTTAATAGTGTTTTCTTTTAAATTTTCCGATGGTGAACCCATGCATAGCGTGAAGGATTTCACTAACGATGTCACTTTCAAAGAAAGTTCGTCATTTGCTTTGAAGAAATATAGAGAGAAAGCAGACACGAATAACACCGGGGTATTTTTAGGAGATAAGGGCTGAGAAATCCTCGACTGAACCTAATCCTCGTCAAATCATATGTAAAAGGATTTTTTCCGAATTATGTGAAAAACAGTTATTTTGTTTAGGGAGGACCACGTACATTTTTAAAATTCTGCAGATAGTCCTCTTAATCGTCCTGAGTCTCAATGGAAGAACATTCGGTTACTTGTGTTGGTTAATGCAGTAAGCTACAAATAATATCTTACTTTAGGGATTTCCTTTGTTGAATTACTCATCCTGATTCGATCGGATTTCTATACCTTTTCTTTGCAGATATTTACTTCAACATCACTTTGCGAAGAAAGACGCTTTTCTACACCGTCAACCTGATTATCCCGAGTGTGGGATTGAGTTATTTGAGTATCCTAGTATTTTACTTACCGGCGGATTCCGGTGAGAAAGTCGTGCTGGTGATTTCCGTGCTCCTGTCACAAACGATGTTCTTCCTGCTCATAAGGTACGAAGTTTCCTTTCATCTTATCCCTCGTCTGAAAGCATGGTATTTGAAGCAAAAGTAATTTTTAGAAATTGTTTGATCACATTGGAACGCGAGACTCGATTCAGCTTCAGTCAATATAAATCAAGTTGCAGCACAATTCCGAAAGAACCTTTTTAAAAATGAGAGCCTCACACATTTTCACGATTGTGGCTTTTTCTTTCTCGTGATGCGATTCCGAATAAATTCCAGGCCGAAGGTTCTCAATAATCGGTGCTCCAAAGCATGTTAAATATAATAATGAAATTAAATCAGTTTAAATCAAATAAGAAGTAATTTCAATGAGAATAGGCAAGAATTCGCGCGTCAATAATTGCCATCTTCAGTATTGTGGGAATTTTGTAGCCCAAATAAAAATGCTCAATTTTAAAGACGTATGAGGTTGTCCTAAGGGGCTCCGTAGTCGACAACAGTACTTTATTTCGCATTTCGTTTTCTGTCAATTGCATTTATTGCAACAAAAAAAGAGTTTAGGGGGTCAACGATCTATGAGAAAACTCTGCTATAAGCTATACATATGTATATATACAGTATATATGGTATACGCTATCTATCGTTCACATCGTCATGCTTTCATTGACTTTCGTTCGACAGTGAAATCATCCCGCCGACGTCGTTGTCAGTTCCGTTACTGGGACGATACTTGCTTTTTACTATGTTCATGGTGGGGGCGTCTGTGCTGCTCACGATTCTGGTGCTCAATATTCACTACCGCAAGCCGTCGACGCACCGAATGGCTCCGTGGGTTCGCCAGTTCTTCATCCACATGTTCCCCAAGGTGAGGTATTTTTCAGGCTTTCGAAAACGATTCCACAACGATCAGAGGTTACTCAAACGGAAACGCGCGAACATTTAAAATCATGAATCTTAGATTTTCTTGGTTTCCTCGATTTTTTTTTTTAATCTACTCGCCCTAAAAATCTTTCTCGCGCTGATGCGATTCCCGTAGTCCGTGCGAAAGCGCACGCCCAACAACGAATCATTGGAGCGACATCTTGACGAGTGCAACAATGAAGAAAAAGTAGTTGATGCTGGTGCAGGAAAGGAACGAAAACCAAGCATGCATCAGCGAGAGTTCTCCGCAGTCAAGATTATTTATATTGAATCTAGATGGAAAGCATGTGATTTCAAGATCGTGGATACTGTTTTGAATTTTCAATTTTTGTACCTGATCATTTCTCCGATTCTTTAATTCTGGCCATTAAAAAGATATACCAGCTTGAGCTAGGATTCTAGCCTCCCCTGTAAAAAAAAAAAAATCTGTCACATTTCAGATTGGAAATTTCTACCTGGAAAATCTATTACGCATTCCTCAAAAAATGTTTGTTATCCCGGAATTGGAAAGTTTTTAAAATTAAATTGTTTCGAAAATGTCCTCTATGGGT